CTCAAAAATATCAGACCATATGCCAAAATTTCGAACGGATATTCTGTGTAAATAAATATGAAATTTGTTACCAAAATTCGATTGACTAAAAGACTTGTTAACAAAATCCGATCATATTTGTTAACACAATGTGATCATATCCGAACCTATTTTCGGCTAAAAAGATTTATCAATCAAAATCCCATAAAATCTAATCATATTGTGTAGAATATTACCCAAAAAAAAAATGCTCAAAAAATATCAAACCATTTACCAATTTTTCGGCCAAAATATTTTGTGTAAATAAATCTAAAATTTGTTACCAAAATCTGATCGGCTGACATATTTGTTAATACAATCCGATCATATTCGAACTTCTTTTCGGCTAAAAATATTTACCCAAAAAAATCTCACAAAATCCGATCATATTGTACAGAATGTTACTAAAAAAAGATATGCTCGAAAATATCAGACCATTTACCAAATATTCGGCCAAATAATTAGTGTAAATAAATATCGAATTTGTTACCAAAATTCAACCGTGTAAAAGATTTATTAGCAAAATCCGATCACGTTTGTTAACAAAATTCGATCATATTTAAACCCCTAATCGGATAAAAGATTTAAAAAAAAAATTGTAAACCATTTTGACATGTGGGTTTATAAGTATTACTAATATTAGTAAGTGAAAGGATTATTTATTAAGTCAAAATTATTATTTTTGTATTTTTCCAACAATCTCTTTATATTACTATAGATATAGATATAGATCTATAATAATAATCTATATAAATTATGACGTATAAATAACTAATAATAATGTGTCGGATTAATATAAAATTAATGAATCAAATAAATGTGGGTTTGACATATTTTATCAAAATTGATTTAACTGGGCCAAAATCTGGTCCATATAATTAATAGTTATGAGCCTATTAATCATTATATGTGGGCTTAGGGATTATTCTCAGACCAAAGCTTCAGAAAAATCAATCAAACGATCACGATAAGTCAACAGAAATAGAAGGATGAGATTTCTTCACACAGAGTATATAAAGCGAAAAAAATCAGCAATAGTGTCCATTTGTCATCTCTTTTCCATCGGCAAAAGTATCGTAACATACGAATGGCAGCACAACAGTCGAAACATAAAAGACAGATCCTACAATAGTGTGTTGCCATGAATGCTTCATCTTAACAGAATTTTCCAAAATCAGTGATAAGACTCACTTGAGCAAAGGCTTCAGAAGCTACTCATTAGCTACTCCTTAATAGATCTTCACATTGTGAATAGGACGATCAGTGTTATCAGTTTGAACATAACCAGAAACAGCACATGGTTTACAATAGCATGTTAAAAAGGTTTTAACCACAAGATACACTCAAATGCACCAACACTGCTCCTCGCATAACCTTTCCAAGGTTACAAGAGAACCTAACTTCACACCAAATACAAGTTGTTGCTGATAAAATAATGTTCCACTGGAGCACATATTATCACAATCCAAACAAACTGCAAATCAACCAATTTAATAATTTTATTTTGAAATGAAAATCCTGACTTTCAAAACTCACAGAACTGAAAGACCCCTCTAAAATAGAGGCATTTACATATTATATATACGTAAATCTATGACGAAGTGTAACAAACACATCATATATTGAAAAGTTCGATTCGCTCTCGCAGTCTTACAATGTAATGAAGTTTCTAGATACATTAATGTAAGTTCTCTAAAGAATGCTCACCATCTAGAGAGGGTGCAGGTGCCAGAGTTATAAAGAACTGGCTCCCGTTTGTATTCGGACCGACATTTGCCATGGATATGATACCAGCTCCAGTGTGCTTCAACTCTCTACTTATCTCATCCTCAAAGTGCTTACCATAGATGGATTCGCCGCCTCTCCCAGTTCCGGTTGGATCACCTCCTTGCACTATAAAATCCTTTATGATTCGATGGAACTTGACGTTGTTGTAGTAACCTTTCTGTCGCATGCTGCCATCAGAAAACTGAGCAGCTTCTTGCCGTGGACGCCATCAATGGCAGCCGCTGGGAGAAAAGGAAAAGGAAAAACGTGATTTTTTTTTAAAAGATAATGAAGAGTTTTATCAGTAATATAATTATATAGATGTTTAAGATAAGTTGGAATATATTCAAAAAAATCTCTAAATTTGTTACCTAAAAAATTGGGATTCCTATGATTTCATAGTTGAGAAAATCCGGTGGTTTTCTAAATAATTGAAAAAAAAATCCAACCAAATTTTTTATACCGGGATGATTCCAGTATTCCGTTTTTTGCTTGATTCTTTTTTGGAATGATTTAAAATAAAAATAAATCAAAAAATAAATAATTTTTGGATTTTTTTAATTGGTTTCCACAAATGGAAAGTCAATGGTGTTGTTGACCAGTTTTTTAAAAATTTCCACAAATGATTTATTAATTTTTCTTTTTCAATATATATAGATATAGATATATAAAATGAGTGAAGGACGTTTCAGTAATTTGAAGCCACCAAAATATATATCCACTGGATCATCTTCCCCATCTTTCTTTTATAGTCCTACCCCCAATCTCTCATCTCCTCCACAAAAATGGCGCTCGCTCTGCCCAATGCCTTCCTCCACAACAACCTCTCGCCTCCTTCGGTTTCTCTCAACTCCAAGGTACATCATTTACTATTCAATAGGTAATCCTAAGAACAACAAGTAAAGAAAAATCTTCGAAATCAATGTCTACTTACCCTTAACAGAATTTTCCCCCTTTTCCTTTTCCCCCCTCGTAATTAACAGGCGAAGAGTGTAGTGGGCCGCAATCATATGCGGGTGAGCTGCAGGAAGAAGGACATACACCCCGAATTCTACGATGACGCCAAGGTTTTCTGCAACGGTGAGCTGGTGATGACGACGGGCGGGACCAAGAAGGAGTACGTGGTCGACGTTTGGTCAGGTAACCATCCCTTTTACCTTGGTACTCGCTCTCAGCTTTTTGCTGAAATCGATCAAGTTGAGAAATTTCGCAAGAGGTTTAGTGGGCTCGACCACCTTATGGAGATTCCTGTTCTCAAAGGAGAGATTGTGCTTCCTCCTAAGAAGAAATCTGGAAAAGGCAAAAGGAAGTAGTCTTGAAAGATCTAATTTTTCCTCTTTGTTGAGATCTTGCGTTAATTGTTGAATTTTTGGGTTTTTTTGTAACTAGCTTGATTGAGACATTGGATTATATGGGTTGTGACGAAAACTCACTTATTTGATTCTTGCTTAGTGGCATTGGTTTTGGTTGTTGTTGCATTTGTTCTATCCTACTTCAAGAGTAGTACCTCAGTTGTGTTGAAAATAAAAACTGGCAATAATTACACACATTCAGCTCCAAACGTAAGGCATCTTTGTTTGTTTGTTAGTTTTTTGTTTTTTCCTCATTTTTTGGCTGCCTATTGTGAGTGTTAAGTGGATGCAGCTGGGGCTCTCTTCCTTACATTTGAATGTAGTGGATAACACTTGCTTGGCTGCAGATATCTTTCAGGCTAGTTTGGTTCTCAAGTTGGACTATTAGCTATGAATTTTTCTTTTTGAGTTGATTTGAGTACTTGGTTCATCTATGCACATTTCATTTTTTTGAGGCTGTTCGGTTTGGTCATGTGCAGCTACTGAATGTGTGATCTGCTGGCTGTGATTTCTGTTCTGTTTGAATGTCTCCATGCAATAGATGCTGTGTTCATTTCTTGATCATGTGGATGATTAGTACAGTAACCCGATTGAGCTTATCTTATCATACAAAATACCAATACTTCTTTCTCAGTTTGCAGTTAGCTTACCTTCTTATACAAAATATCAATACTTCTTTCTCAGTTTGCGGTTATCTATATGCAATTTGTTTTTATCCTTTTCTTTATATGATAAGATTTCAATCGATGAATCAGAATCAACACTAGCTAGTGTTTTTGAGATGATCAGCGCACATAGATTTTCAAATTTCATTTTGGCTCCATAAATGTCCTTCTAATCCCATTTTATGTTCGCTCTAGAACTTCACATTAGCAAGCTGAGATTCAAGTCATCAAGTAAAGGTTATGTTGAAAAAGTGTAAGCACAAAACATTGCAAAAAAAGAAAAAAAAAAATTGCGAAAGAGATTCATCTTGTTGTTTCATTTCACCTATATCTGTAGTTCTTTTGCCTTTGTTAAGCAGCTGTTTAGTTTACACTTATGATACTAATGCTGCAGGTGTTCCATATCTTAAAGTATATTTTTCCGGACTTATATGAGATGCTTCTAGCAAAACAATCCTGGAAACTGGTCTGATAGATTAAATAAGTGGTAACACCCTGTCTTGTATGTCGACAGGGAGAAAAATACTTCAAATGCTACCGTTGAAGGATGTGATCTTATGAATATATATTTTACGCAGAGGGTTCTGCATTTATATATCTTGGTTGTTCCTCTACATTATAACTTACAAGACATGACCTTTTTAGGCGGTCTTGGGGTGAAAGAGCAGTATTTGATCTTACGTTCCTCTTATCTACAATGTCGTAGAGTTGATGGTTCATACATCACCAGTTATATGGTAGATGTGCACGCATTTGCTATTAACCTAAAAGTTATGAAGAAGTAAAAGCTCTTAACGCTCTTGTGACTAGCTATAAATTTCACCAGCAATGATAAAGTCTAAAACACAAATGCTGCCATTAGGCTGTCCGACGAGGTTGTCTAATGGTTAGAGAGTTATACTTTATTAAAAAACTGTAAACTTGTACAATGAAATGTTGTATTATTGTTTATATTGTGTTTTGAAGTATGAAATTTGTACATTTATGTAATAACTACCAATTTGACCATGCATTGACGCCACAAATTTAAATTTATAAAAGTTTTGCTTAACGAACCACCACTAACTAGTAGTTCGGGCAAGTAGGGGTCGATCCCACGAGTAGGATTAAATTCTGGCTATTCTTGTACTAATTGAATTAAAACTAAAAAAGCAATAAAATGAGCATCGTTTTTTAAGAACAAAAATAACATATAAAATAATAATAAAAAAAAAAAACATTAGAGAAGTCCAATTTCGGCTCAGTTATTACCCAATCTAAATCTATCGTCGACTAATTTCAATGCCTTCATTAAATTGCTAATAAATTACCAACTCTAGCTAACAACAAGCTCTGTCAACCGAATTTTTCTTACTGAATATTAAATCGAAATCAGGTCTTCGACTAAACCTAACTAGTTGACAACCTAAAATAAGTTCTCTAGATTTAATACACTAGCAACATTAATTCTTAGAAAAAGAAATTAGTCTAAGCAACAGACGCATATGTTTGAATCGGTTAACTTATGTTCACGCTACCCTAAAGATGTATGACCTCTAGTTTACTACTAACAGAACAAGAACAATAACAATTGCGGATTAAAACCTCATCTCTAACAATTAAATTATGAATACTCAAAGTAGTTGGCTAACTAAATCTAACATCCATAATTCATAAACATTAAAAATAGATAGCATGCATCAACTCATCAACAAAATAAATGCAGCGTCTTAATTATTCAATGAAAGAGATAGGTCATTCATTTCATAGACAAATTAAAGTTATGGTTTAAATTTCCCCTTAAATTGGATGATAATAATAATAATAATAATAATAATAATAATAATAATAATAATAATAATACTAAATAATAAATAAAAGAGAGAGAATATAATTATCTCCCTCGGGCGGGTGCAACTTTCCTCCGCGTGTGTAGATCTCTTTCAGTCTGCGCCCTCTTCCTCCTAGTCTCGGCAATGGGAGTCCCGCTTTCTTTCTTTCTTTCTTTCTTTCTTTTTTTCCGCATGTATAGCTTTGTGTTTTCTCTTCCAGCAAATAAATCAAGTTGATGCTCTTTTGCGAGTAAGTCTCCTAAGAGCATCTTCATTGCATTACTGTCAAGTGAAAAAATTAAATGCCATGTCATTATTAGATATAATGTCGTCATATTTATCTCTCCAATAATGGTTTTTGTCGTAGTCTGATTTTGTGTAACGTAGCTTGACAGTAGTCAAGCCCCATTATTTGAAACCACACAGAGTCTTTGACTTCGTCCGAAAATCTATAGAATCGTGGAAAAAAAGTTCGGGAAATATGTTTAAATCAAGACACGTGATTGAAGGATACGTGAACACATGTGAGTCTCCAAATATGTTTAAAATCAAGATTTGAGTCTCTAAATATGTTCAAAATCAGAGGGGATAATATGATGTTTATCATTTAACATCCGCAACATGTTGTATCTACGTGAAATAACAAACTAAGGATATGTTTAGGACATATGCTTGTTAAGTTGTTATTCAGATATGGATGAAACTAAAAGACTCGTTAAATCTATTAAAATTTTAAAAATCAGTTTAACATGAAGAATGAAAGAAAGTGGTGCATTGTGCGTAGTATTTTTTTTGGGAACGAAGGAGGAGGCCAAATGCCTAAGCTAGTACTCGACGGGGGTATGACACCCTAACATTATCATGTTTGAGCCAAGCTCCCAACCCCACCGGGGGTGTGGGGGGGGGGGGGGGGGGGGGGGGGGGGGGGGTGTGGAGGTGATGCGATGTAAACCGATTGGGTAGGCTTCTACCAGGCTCGCCATATAAGCAGCCGCAAAGTTGTCTTCCCTATGTACGTGTTGGATTCGAACATTCCAGTCTCTTTGGATCATATACCGAATGGCCTTAACCATTGCTTCACGGGACCCCAGATCCGCCATCAGAGCCACAAATCATCTTTTGCACGCAAAGACTATCAACCTCGGCAATAACTTGATTGTATCCCAACTCCCACGCCAACTGTAAACCTTGCAAAAGGCCCCATAGTTCAGTATCTGTAATGGTGCAGAAGCCAATATTCAGGAGGAACCCCTCAATCCAACGTCCCGCTTCATCTCTAATTAGACCCCCCGCACAGCTCAACCCTGTTGTACTATTATGAGCTCCATCAATGTTTACTTTTATCCATCCTGAGCCTGGAGGATTCCAACGAATCATTCGTGTAATGTGCGTGGCAACCCCGACCCGTACATAATCAACCGTCACCCGGGTATAGCTACCTGTTAATCTCATCACCTCCAACCTCCGAGTCTCGACACTCAGTGTTGTGTGTTGAAACACCCGCTCATTACGCCACTTCCACGATCTCCACACGGCGTGGAGGTGATGCGATGTAAACCGATTGGGTAGGCTTCTGCCAGGCTCGCCATATAAGCAGCCGCAAAGTTGTCTTCCCTATGTACGTGTTGGATTCGAACATTCCAGTCTCTTTGGATCATATACCGAATGGCCTTAACCATTGCTTCACGGGACCCCAAATCCGCCATCAGAGCCACAAATCATCTTTTGCACGCAAAGACTATCAACCTCGGCAATAACTTGATTGTATCCCAACTCCCACGCCAACTGTAAACCTTGCAAAAGGCCCCATAGTTCAGTATATGTAATGGTGCAGAAGCCAATATTCAGGAGGAACCCCTCAATCCAACGTCCCACTTCATCTCTAATTAGACCCCCCCGCACAGCTCAACCCTGTTGTACTATTATGAGCTCCATCAATGTTTACTTTTATCCATCCTGAGCCTGGAGGATTCCAACGAATCATTCGTGTAATGTGCGTGGCAACCCCGACCCGTACATAATCAGCCGTCACCCGGGTATAGCTACCTGTTAATCTCATCACCTCCAACCTCCGAGTCTCGACACTCAGTGTTGTGTGTTGAAACACCCGCTCATTACGCCACTTCCACGATCTCCACACGGCAATGGCATTGTGCGTAGTATTTGGCTGTTGCTATTTCCACTGTCAACATTGATATTAAGGGAATACAGTTATCCAATTATGTACAAACAAGTGTCATGAACATTTAACATTCACATTCATACGAGATGCTCTAAGAAAACAAAAACTCTTCACTGCCCAATGCTGATCCGTATCAAATAGACTCACATGGTCAAAAGTTCCTTTTTCTTTGGCTAAGGGATTAGTTTTAAGGATCAAAATAGCTTAAAATTTTGGGCCACGTGCCAAATTATCTTACTTAGCCCAAATTAAGCTTTCCACTAATTTCTTCTCCTTTATTCGCAGACTTGGAGCAGCAGGCCCAAACAATACGGCCCAATTAGTAATGTACCGTTACATTATCAATATTTTACATAAGAAACAAGTGAACGTCTATAGTCGTACTCCTGTACCTACTTAACATTAGTTTCCCTAAAAATTTTATGGAGCCATCGGAGTGCTCCTGTATGGAGCAATATATAACTTTATGTATTGACACGTGTTCAATGTGCATTTATTGCAGGACACGTGTCAATATACCATTTGTCAATATACCATTTGTAGATAATTATGGATGATTCCATAAGCCGAGCCATCCCATGGCTCTATAGAAAAACCGTCAAGTACCCCTCTATTTCACCATTAGATTGACTAAAAAATAAAAATCAACTATAAATTCAAGGGTACAAGGCAAAAAAGAATTTTGGCAGTCTTGTACTTTATCCGTACTCCTTGTACTTGTTAAAAAGTTATTATACCCTTAGTGTATTTTAAAATTTAATAATATCTTAACTAATTACAAAAAGATATTTTATTTATTTTCAAACCCCATTAGCCCTTTTTGCACAACTGCCCTCAAATTTTTCCCTTTTCTTTTCGGATACGTCTTGCACCAACTTCCCACATTTTCTGCCTTTTGCTTTGACAAGTAGTACAGTGTCGTATCCAGTGCATATCTCAAAAATCCTCTCCGAAAATCATCCATCCTTTCCAAAAATCCTCTACATNAATTAAATTTCGAAAGCCAAAAGAACGCGGCGGCGACAAGGGACGACAGTCGGCCGAGTGCAAGGAGGAGCTACGACGGCGAAAAAGCGGCGAGATTTGCGAGGCTAGCCGGAGAGAGAGAGAGATAGAGAGACGACGGGGCGGCCAGCCGGCATAAACCTTGATTTTCACCTTTGTCCACTTTTAAGTGGGCACAACTCATGAATATATTAGAACTCAAAACTTTCAAAATTGATGAAAATCATCTATTGATGCCTGTTGGAAGAGTTTACTGTATTGTTCACTGGTAGAGGCGGCTGAATTCTCCATTTATTTAAGAAATTGTCGGCTTAGGATGCAAATATTTTTTGTTTTATTTTGATTTTTTAGAATGGTTTGGGTGATACCATCCGGGTTTCTCTAACCGAGCCACTGGAAGAACAAATAGATCCCTGTAGAACAAATAGAAACGGCATTGTCTTGGAGAATTTGGTGCCCCTAAAATCTGATGCGGCGTGTGTGTGATGTCGCTTGCTCGCCTTCGTGATTGATTTGATTTCCGTAAATTGTGGTGCACTCCGCCGAAAGTCTGGTGTTGCTTGCTCGATCATCTCCTACCTGTCACTGTGGGTTGTGGGTTTGTACTGTTGTTTTACTTACTCAAATCTTTTTAATTGTTTCGTACTTTAGCCTGTGTTTTTGCAGCTTTTCAACATTTTTGTGTTTTAGGTGTGTTGGCCCAGATTTTTCTTTTCTCTTCCAAATTATTGATTTCAGCCTTCTTGTGTTGCTTTATCGATTTTAATGGCAGCTGGTTCCAAAGTTTTTGTTGAGGCAGCAGTTTCGGAGATGGATTCTCCAGCATCTATTCTTGAGCTTTTGAGCCTTCATCATCAACATACCGTGTTCCTGATAGTGAAAAAGGCGTGGAGAAAAGTGAAATTCTTATTCTAGGATGTCTTAGGAATCTCTTGATACTAATGGGGTTAAGGGCTCTGATTTGGACTCGAATGCCAATTTGAAATCGAAATTCAAAATGAAGGATATTGTTAACGCGCTGAACAAACTCAAACTGAATCCCCTGGCTAAGGTATTCTTTCTTTCCTCTTATTATTATGGTCAAATGGACACTTACAGTGTTGTGTTTTCCAACAAAAGTTTGGGAAATAATGGTTTCGCAAATAATTGGAGGGTATACATACGTTTTCCCCTCTTATTCATTCTGAACATGCCATTTTGTTGAATGATCAATTTCTCTGTGGTTGGTGATGGTATACTAATTCCTATCTTTTTGATTTAATTATTTATGGGAATTTCAATGATTATTCTTTTTTCTAGCATCCAATATTTCTAGATTATTGCTATTAGCATACGCCTCAAACTTGTGTTTAAAAGATTAATGCTAGAACCTAACCATATAACAGTCACTATATTGATATATTATGGACCTATTTGCATTGTCTGGACTGATATTTTACATTCTTATTAGTTTGTTTTTATTTCTGGAACTTGGAAATATTATTCTTTTAGCTAATCGTGGTTAGTAAGTTGCGAGCCACATACTAAAACTAGCATCATTGAATTACCTATACTTTATTCCAGGTACAAGATTTACTTTGATTTGTATTTGCAGAATTATTTTTCTTATGTAGAGTGTTATAGCATGATGAGTGATTGTTTTGTCAAACCTTGGGACATATCAAATTGATGCTCAATTTTGACTTTCCTAATCATACGAAAAACATAACATCCTTCAAGTTTTCGTGGAGGTCGTAGAAACTCTAGTCGAAAGAAATGTTGCCAAAAGACGAGGGTGAGCCCGAACTCGAACTCGGGGCATCGAAAACCCGGCCCATAGGTGTGGAGCAGCACATTCTGAAACTTGCGTCCCCGGTAAGCCACAAGGTGTGCATAGTAGATGATGGCACGACAGATACGGGCCTTGTGGACCGGGCAAAACGTGAAGCACATGCTGTAAATAGGCTTCTGCAGCTTATTATGAAATGGTTCTCATACTCAAGCACTCAAGCAGATAGTAATGCATGAGATTGCTCATCCCCTGATACACATAACAGCTGCATAGGTAGAAATTCAAATTTTGAGGGTCAACAATACCTGTGTCCACACCGTCCCCGGTAGCACATTCCCGGACTTGCCCGCGTCTTCTTCATGTTCGACAAAAAGTCCACTTTCGTGGCGCTTTTGGGCGACGACTATCGTGATTTTTGGTTTGTAGTTGTCTCCACAAATGGATGTTTTCAAATTGAGCAATTCTTCAAGCACCATTTGAGGAGGATCCAAGTGTTTGGAGCTATGTTTCGGCTCCTCAAATCTAGCAACTCCTTTCACTCCACCCAAACGGATGTTTTGCAGCTATGTTTTCCTTTTTGAATTTAAGTTTGGATACTACTATTTATTTTTTGTAACGGAGTTTAAATTTCCTTTATTTATTTGGCAGATGCCACTGATTTGGAAACTCTCAAGATAACGGAGGAGAAGCCTCCCAAGAGTCGGATCCAAAAAGTTTAGGCGGCCCGACGAAGTAGGCGAGTCCATCAATGTTTTGGTCAATCATTTTTCAATGGAACTCAATTCACAGCTCGATATTTATTTCGATCTTGAGGGTCAAAAAACGTGTGTCCTTTACTACTTTAGGAATAAGTAGGGCAAAGACATTGTGTACAAAGATGTTCCATGCTTGAAACTTGGGAAGAAGGCAAATTACATTTGACCCTCAAGATCGAAATAAATATCGAGCTGTGAATTGAGTTCCATTGAAAAATGATTGACCAAAACGTTGATGGGCTCACCTACTTCTTCGGGCCGCCTAAACTTTTTGGATCCGACTCTTGGGAGGGTTACCGTTATCTTGAGAGTTTCAAAATTAGTAGCATCTGCCCAATAAATAAAGGAAAATTAAACTCCGTTACAAGAAATCTATCGTAATATCCAAAGTAAAATTCAGAAAGGAAAACATTGTGAGATTAACATTGTAGTTATTCAATAGTGACTATAAAGTAAATAGCACTATTTCATGTTATATTACAGAAATGTGTTAATCTCATTAAATGGCCATAAAGATTTACAAAACACAAATTTTAGCCATGTTTTGTAAAAAACATATTTTTTTAGCCATTTTGCCATGTGCTATTACTAAAATACCCCTTTAACTCAATTTTACCTTCTTTCCCCAATTCAATATTCACCTCACACAATTCCCCCCCAATTCATTTTCATTTTCAGAAATAAAATAAAAAAAAAATTGCCTTCAAGAAATCCAGAATTCCCCCCAACACCGTCCCTAGCCTTATTCATCTCCAAGAATTCATCTTCATCACCTCCTCAAACACCCCATCTTCAGCGGCCCATTCTCCAGCCCGCAACGTTCGGTAGGCTAGGTTGAGAGACTCATCCAACGTCCGAGCACCTCATCCCCCGTCCGAACACCGTCTGGGAAGTTCCACCTCCGCCCTTCACTCTTCACGACCTCCGAATTTGAAAACAGGTAACGTTTCCGAGCACCTCATCCCCGCCNATTACAGTTTAATAAATAGAATATTTTGGCACAATGCAATTGCGCCTCAATTAAACCTAGATTGTTCTACTATTAGACAAAATTAACGGCAAAATTAACGGTCTTTTTTGAACTGAAATGTCATGAAATCTTGAATAGGCCCTTTCCTTTTTTGTTTTTTTTGTTTTTTTTTGTTCATTTTGTTGTTGTTTTTTGTTATGCTGAAAAATAGTATATGGGTTTTGTATATGGTGTTCTGCTAGCTGTTTGAGTCGTGTTTGCGTTTTGGTGTTCTGATTCTCTTCCTTAGATCTTGTGTTTTTTGTTACAAATTTGGAGTGGATCTGTGGAGTGGATCTTTTAACATAGTGATGCATATTAATTTGTGACTTTAGGTTTTCAGCTGGGTCTCTCTTGAAAACCCAGGTCCTTCATATTTTTTTAAGTATATTCAGTAAAGTTTCTTGCTTAATTTCTTCTTAGTTTTTCTATATATATATGTGTAAATATTTAGTTTCCTGGTTGAAGTTTTGAGGAGTACTGCCTATCTGAAAGAAATCTTTTTGAAAACCCATCAATGATTTTATCATGAAGGGATCGAGGTTTTTGAGGCCCCCAGCAGCTGCTGGAGAAGCTTTGCGATATGGGTTGGGTTGTGCTTTGGATAACTTAACAGGGGTTGGGATTATCGATGGTGATGGGGGCGAGCAGAAGAAGAAATCGAGGTTACTTTCTATGCTCGATGAGGTAATTTTTTTTAGCTAATCCATGAATATCTTTTTTTTTTACTTGGGAAGTGAAAAAAAAAAATAAAAAATTGCTCATTCAGAGTAGTACTGTTCAATGGACTGCCATTTTAGTCTGTTAAAGTTTGGTCATTGGTGGGTACTCTAAAAGGCCTAGCCTTTACTGTCTAGTACTAGCATGCAAGCTGTTTTCCTTGGTGATTAATTGAGTTAGAAAAGAAATAAAGAAAAAAGGAAAGCTACAAAACTTTGATCTCTAATTATTATGTGAGACGCGTTAACTAACCGTTAGACGAGTTGACATGTTATAAATTTTATCATAAAAGTATACTTGTGAAATCTCATACTTTTATTTAT